ATTAAAGCTTCCGCCTTTTGTTGGGTACTTCGACAAAATTTAAGCAAAGAGGACTCTTTATACTTTTTTAATTCTCTCTAGCTTTCAATGGACTTTGCCATCATCATCAGGAGCTGCAATTACAATGATAACGGTAGCAACAAAAGTGTAAAATGAATTTAAATTGACTCAACTTACAGTAGTATGTGAGGATGTTGCTAATTGTTGTTTACGTATAGGATGAGGGAAACGTCCAGTAACATGGTAAGAGCTGGATAGATTGTACAATCGTCAAAATTATATAAAATATGACAAGAACAAGTTAAAAACAGATTAAAAATTATTTAAAAAACATTAGAGCATTACATCGTGAAGCCACTTGATGATTGCACAAATTAGTGGTCATGGAATAATGAGTGAGATGAAACCCTTTGACAGAAGGCCGAAGGATGTCAATGTCTGTGTTGAAAGATGGAACGAATTGTGGGCGTGTGCCAAACGTTGCCAAATCACTTCAGATGATGTGATTTTCAGAATTTTATGTAAGAATTTGTTAAACCGACCAGAGGCAGTTGAATAAACTATATTTTAATTAATGGGAATTTAAATTAACAATTATTAATAAATCGTGAGAAGAGAATTATTATATTTTGAGTGGAATGAAATTTACTGGTGGAATCGGCCAAAACACAGATCCTAATTATGGTTGTGAAGAGTCGAAATTTGGGGAGATATGTAAGTTCTCCAATTTTTCGCAGTTTAGCAAATATGAGTAAATGACACTCAGTTGTTTAACATCTGTCTTTTTGTTGATACAGTTGTTATTCATGAAGATGTGGGACATTTCCAGGAATAAACGTTTGGAAAGGTGTTTTTCTTTATCAAGAACTTTGATACTTGTGTAATTCATAGAATGCCCTGTTGTGTTAACATGAGATGCTAGAGCGCATCTTTCAGGATGAAGCCTAGCATCACTTTTGTGTGATGTAATCCTTCCTTTAAGAGATCTGGAGGTCTGACCTATGTATATTTGGTTGCAGTTGTTGCAATTGATGGAGTAGACTGTGTTGGTTAAGCCAAGCAGCGGGACTTTGTCTTTCATTTTTGAAAAAATGCAGTTTATAGTGAGGACGGATTTGCAAGCAATTCGAAAGTTCAAAGGACTGCACAATCTGATCAGCTTAGGGGTCAGTTCCTTGATATAGGGCAGGACAGCAAAACCAGGTCTGGAGTCCGGGTTGGTGCTTGTACTGTTAGGATTGATGTTATTATTGGGAATTACATCAGTTCCGTTATTAGGGGTTGTGCGACTATTACCTGCATCACCAGAGTTCGGCAAAATATTGGAAGGTGAACTAAATGAGATCTTGTTAATCAGACACTCCGGATAACCATTATTGATGAACAGTTTTGATAGTTTATGTAAATTTGAGGTGCGGAAGGTATTATCTGAGATGCTGATTACCCTTGTTTTCATCTGTTCTACCAAATTGATTTTAATCCCTAGCTTATGGTATGACCTAAAATTGAGAAACCGACCTGAGGCCATAGGTTTCTGGTACCAGTCTACCAATAAACTGTTGTTGTTGGTGCGAATGAGTCTTGTGTCTAGAAAGGGGACAGACAGGTTCTCATCTTCTTTTTCAATGGTAAATTGGATGTAGGGGTCATAGCTGTTGAATTCTCTGACAATACCATCCAGACCTATGGAAGGGAGGCATAAAATAATGTCATCTACGTATTTTTTTATGAAGAAGAGGTTATAGGGTAGTGTCGGAATAACAGTATCAAGCAGATCATCCATGACATATTCTGCCAAAATTGGTGACAGAACAGATCCCATAGGACAACCATGTGTTTGAGAATATATTTTGTTGTTGAAAGAGAAATAATTGTTATGAAAAAGGAATGTTATAATGTTGGTGAAAGATTCTAGAGATATGTTGCAGTGTTGACTTATCTCATTCCAGTGTTTATTAATAGTTCTTGTACATGCATCCAGATAGATGTTGCTGAATAGCGACACCACATCAAGACTGGCGATAATATGATCGGCTGGTATTGTCAATCTGTTGAACTGACGAGAGACTTCAAATGAGTCTTTGATGTAGTAATCATTATCTGCATGTGCTGATTTTAGTGTTGTCGATATTAATGAAGACAAAGCCTGGGTGGCTGAACCTATTGATGCAACTATAGGTCTTACTGAGAGTACAGGTTTGTGAATTTTCGGAAGTGCATAAAATTTGGGAGGGACAGAGTTATAAGTAGTCAAAGTTCTTTTTTGTTCTTGGGTTATTTGTCCAGTGCTGAGAAGTTCCTTAACAATGTCATTACTTTTCTTTTCCACTTTAAGTGTGGGATCTCTATTAATTTCATGATATGATGGGTCATCATTGATGAGATTGTTGCAAAGATCTAAATAGTGTTGTTTAAGCATTATCACTGTAACATTGCCTTTGTCAGATCTTGTAACCATAAGTTCAGAATGTTGTTTTAGAAATGTTCTAGTTTTGTTTAAAAGGTTGTGATAAAAGGAATGTTTTTTATTAAGATTGTTATTATGATAATAGTTAGTGATGAGGTTAGTGGAACGAGTTGTGAAAATGTTTCTTTCAGTGTCATCACTTATGGAGGATGCTATTGTGTCTACATCCGCTAGGATTGATCTAATTGGAATGTCATTGTTAACAATCGGCTCTACACTGAACTTAGGCCCTAAGGAAAGAAATTTTAATATGTCATGAGGGATGTCAACGTTACTGAGATTTTTTATCCAATTTTGTTGAGTGTTGAGGAAGGTTTTTCTGGTGTCATTCAACAATCTGTCAAACTTACGAGTGTTAGAGTTTTTTATGTTATGAAAGATTTTATTGTAATGTCTGAGTTGTCTATATTTGAAATTATCAAAAATTAGGGGAGAAGTGGAAGAAATTATGTCACTTTGGAGTGAATTGAGTATGGAATGAAGTTTTTTCAACTGTCTGTGGCAGGAAGATATCTCAAGCGTGAGTATTTTGTAACCTAACCTGTGCAGACGATTTTTCATCCCATCTTCTATTGAATGGCTTTCTAGTAAGTGTGTGATTGATGTTAAGCGGTGGGTGATGTGATGTGGTGTAATGCCATGATCTGCTTGATACTGTTATTCCGACACTACCCTATAACCTCTTCTTCATAAAAAAATACGTAGATGACATTATTTTAAGCCTCCCTTCCATAGGTCTGGATGGTATTGTCAGAGAATTCAACAGCTATGACCCCTACATCCAATTTACCATTGAAAAAGAAGATGAGAACCTGTCTGTCCCCTTTCTAGACACAAGACTCATTCGCACCAACAACAACAGTTTATTGGTAGACTGGTACCAGAAACCTATGGCCTCAGGTCGGTTTCTCAATTTTAGGTCATACCATAAGCTAGGGATTAAAGTCAATTTGGTAAAACAGATGATAACAAGGGTAATCAGCATCTCAGATAATACCTTCCACACCTCAAATTTACGTAAACTATCAAAACTGTTCATCAATAATGGTTATCCGAAGTGTCTGATTAACAAGATCTTATTTAGTTCACCTTCCAATATTTTGCCGAACTCTGGTGATGCAGGTAATAGTCGCACAACCCCTAATAACGGAACTGATGTAATTCCCAATAATAACATCAATCCTAACAGTACAAGCACCAACCCGGACTCCAGACCTGGTTTTGCTGTCCTGCCCTATATCAAGGAACTGACCCCTAAGCTGATCAGATTGTGCAGTCCTTTGAACTTTCGAATTGCTTGCAAATCCGTCCTCACTATAAACTGCATTTTTTCAAAAATGAAAGACAAAGTCCCGCTGCTTGGCTTAACCAACACAGTCTACTCCATCAATTGCAACAACTGCAACCAAATATACATAGGTCAGACCTCCAGATCTATTAAAGGAAGGATTACATCACACAAAAGTGATGCTAGGTTTCATCCTGAAAGATGCGCTCTAGCATCTCATGTTAACACAACAGGGCATTCTATGAATTACACAAGTATCAAAGTTCTTGATAAAGAAAAACACCTTTCCAAACGTTTATTCCTGGAAATGTCCCACATCTTCATGAATAACAACTGTATCAACAAAAAGACAGATGTTAAACAACTGAGTGTCATTTACTCATATTTGCTAAACTGCGAAAAATTGGAGAACTTACATATCTCCCCAAATTTCGACTCTTCACAACCATAATTAGAATCTGTGTTTTGGCCGATTCCACCAGTAAATTTCATTCCACTCAAAATATAATAATTCTCTTCTCACGATTTATTAATAATTGTTAATTTAAATTCCCATTAATTAAAGTATAGTTTATTCAACTGCCTCTGGTCGGTTTAACAAATTCTTACATAAAATTCTGAAAATCACATAATCTGAAGTGATTTGGCAACGTTTGGCACACGCCCACAATTCCTTCCATCTTTCAACACAGACATTGACATCCTTCGGCCTTCTGTCAAAGGGTTTCATCTCACTCATTATTCCATGACCACTAATTTGTGCAATCATCAAATGGCTTCACGATGTAATGCTCTAACGTTTTTTAAATAATTTTTAATCTGTTTTTAACTTGTTCTTGTCATATTTTATATAATTTTGACCATTGTACAATCTATCCAGCTCTTACCATGTTACTGGACGTTTCCCTCATCCTATACGTAAACAACAATTAGCAACATCCTCACATACTACTGTAAGTTGAGTCAATTTAAATTCATTTTACACTTTTGTTGCTACCGTTATCATTGTAATTGCAGCTCCTGATGATGATGGCAAAGTCCATTGAAAGCTAGAGAGAATTAAAAAAAGTATAGAGTCCTCTTTGCTTAAATTTTATCGAAGTACCCAACAAAAGGCGGAAGCTTTAATTTTTCACCTAACTGGTCGAGACGACAATGACCACGTCTCAAAATATATATATATATATATAAGAGGAATGTCTTTTAAGTTTTACATATGGAAATAAAACAACACGGTAGGTAGTTTTAAATGACTTTATTGTCTTTCGAAGATTAATACACATCTGCATGCGCTGGAACCAATTTTCGAAGCACTTATTCCACTTGTTTGCTGGCAGATCCAAAACAGCATTTTCGAATGCGTCAACTACTTCTTCTGGTGACTGGAACCTTTCACCACGCAGTCTGTTTTTAATTTTCGAGAAAGTAAAGAAATCGTTAGGACTTAGACCGGATTTATATGGAGGATGGTCCAATAATTCCACGTTTTCTTCCGTTAAATACTGCCTTGTTTTTTGGGCAGTGTGCGAGCTTGCATTGTCTTGGTGGAGGACGATTCTTCTTTCGGGGTTGATTTTTCGAAGCTCGGTGATGACTTTTGGCGAACAAATGGTGGTATACCAATCCGCAGTAACAGTTCTTTGCTCATAAAGAGGAATTGTTGCAATATGACCCGCTTTTGAAACAAATGTTGCGACCATCTTTTTCGAAACACTTTGAGAACTGACTTTTGTTGGCTATTCTTCACCTTGGAACACCCAAACAGCCGACTGTCGTTTATTTTCTGGTTCATAACAGTAAATCCACGATTCATCTCCACTAACAATGCTGTATACATTTTTTGAGTTTCCGGAACTGAAACGATCAAGCGTTTTTTGACACCAATTAACCCTGGCTGCTTTCTGCTCTTCAGTCAACAGGTGGGGTATCCAATTTTCTTACTCCTAATTCTTCATGTAAAACTTTTTGCATTGAGGTCTTTGAGATCTTCAAAGACGCCTCAATCTCGCAATATGTCAGATGTCTATCTTCAATGATGAGTTTGCGCACAGTATCGACGTTTTCCTGGGTGACTGCCGTTTTTGGTGCACCCACCCTGGAATCATCGCTAAGGCCCGTATCTTTAGTCGTCCCTACAATTGTAGGGCGCCTTTATGGCCTCCTTGATCCAGCAAGGCATTCTTGTTGCGATAATTGTCTCTGAAAGTTGTAATAAATTATGGCGCGAAAATGTTCTCGGTTGAGTTCCATTTTTCTAATGACTTGGTGACACTTAAAAATTCACTGTAGTGAGAACACTGCACGTATTGTTGTGGAACTTTGAATTTAGGTTTACTAAAGAGTGAGGTTAAGATTCAGTACTGACGTTCGATCCGCGCGGCCTACTGTGTTTCTATATGCAAAACTTAAAAGACATCCCTCGTATACTTTTTCGAAATAAGCATTATAATTTGATGGATGCATACTATTTATCTATAAGCCATTTTTAAAATATGAGTAACTGAAAGTAACACCTGTTTACAAAAAATGGCGGAACTGACCACATAAGCCCCGTTTCTTAAGTATCCATTACGTTTTGACGTCTACTGAGGTGAACCGCTGATCAGCAAGTGACATCTTTGTATTAGTTTGTAGCGTTGGCAATAATGAATCTGGTGTAAGTCTCGTAAAACTCAGGATCGTATTCAGATCTGTTGTTCACATATCTAGACTTGGAATTTTGACAATAAAATATACATAGAAGATTATTATATTAAATGTGGAATTTAATGATTACGAGATAAGACAAGTCCTAGCTAGATCGCCGACAGCCCGATGGTGTGAAAAGGTTTCGAAACTTATCTTCGCCTTGTATAGAGTGAGAAGGTCATGTGGAGAAAAGTGCTTCTTAGCCCTAAACAAATACCCTAGCTTTTTCCCAGCAGTTGCCGCACTTGACGGGATGTGTTCGTACCAGATCAAGTTCTCGGTGATCTGGACTCCGACCAGTCGAAATGAACGACTTTTTGGCAGAACTCGGCCATCCATCATAACCGGATGGGCGCTAGGACGCTTTTTGTTAGTTAAGATACAGTACGTTGTTCTGGAAGCATCAAACTGTCTTTATTTTAGATTCGCTACAACTTTGAGTCAAAGGTTCCTAAATTCAATCGCTATTCACCAACTTACAGAGGAGACAAAGGTGTTATGGATCATAACTGAAAACGTCCTACCCCATTGGTGTGGCAGCAAAAAACGAGTAACAGCTAGCTTAAGATGTCAAAATTCAATTTCAATTCTCGAGTACATTGTATCGGTTTCATCTAGATTATAAAAAATTATAGTTGATATTCATTTTGAAGGAATCTTTTTAAATGTCTAAATAAAAAAGAGTACCAGGAATTATGAAGTAAAATTCCTATGTGTAAATTTTGGTTCCTTACGTGAAATATTTAGCGCTAATTTTCAAGCGTGCGAGATCAGCGGATCCCGCATTGTGAATGGGAGGAGCGGCATTGCAATCCCTAAACTCGTTATGTAAATAAATCTACCTCACCTGATTCATCAATGCTTGTGCAGGCCACGAATAACAAGTGAATATCATATTCAACCCAGACACGAAGTGCACCCAGTGATTTATATTAAAGCTCCTGGAAAAATGTCTTATTACACACGTAACCTGTCTTCGAATCTTGAGATAGAGAATATGTAAACGCAAGAAAATGAAGAATTCCATCCGAAGAGTATATCATTGATAAAAAAGGTACTACAAAATAATAAGTACCATTCATATCTTGTTACAACACAATAATAATAATAATAATAATAATAATAATAATAATAATTATTTATTCGCCAAAATATAATGAAAAAACCACAGAAGGCATCGCCTGTGTGTGGTTTATATCTTAATAACTAACAATCAATCATATATGTGTATAACAATTATTGTTAAATCTAAAAGGTATTAATGTAATTGGAATTTCGTACTTTTAGTTTTCTATATAATTATGTATAGTCATTCGCTGCACATTACTAACCCAGTCTTTCAATTTTCTTCTAAATTTTTTTCCAAAATTAAGTATCTTTATTTCGTTTGGTACTACATTATATAATTTAGCCGCTAAGAATTTAAATGATTTTTTGAATAATGTTTTGTGTGGTCTTTGGATATTAGATGAGCCTATTCGAAATCATGTTATGCTCGTGTTTATAGGATTTTTTCTTTTTATTACAATACTTATGGTATAAGGTGGTGGCATGTAAGAAATAAAGTTGTCTTGTATCAAGTATCCCTGTTTCTTGATATAAGTTGTTCGTTGGATATAATCTTGGCTTATGGAAAATGGCTTCCAAAACAGTTTTTTGTGCTATATTCAGGTCAGAAATATATGTCTTGCCGGCTGTGATGCCGTATATTATATGGGTTTCAACTAAGGCATGGTATAGGATTCGCAGATAACTTTCTGTAAGAATGTTAGCAAGCATTTTGAGTTTATAGGCAACATTTCTAATTTTTTTGATAACATATTTAATATGGTTATCCCACCTTAGATGTGAGTCTATAAATATTCCAAGATATTTCAAAGTGTTAACTCTATCGATTTTGGTCTTTTGGCCATGATAATTAACGGAAATTTGTTCGAAGGTAGGTAAAAATTTTGAATAGGATGTAAATGCAATAAATTTTGTTTTTTTGAAGTTAACTGTTAAAATTTTAGTATCAAACCAGTCAATGATCCTTATAAAATCCTTTTCAGCTATTTGCTTCAGTGTGCTCCAGTCATCAGCTTTATATAATACGAGGGTGTCATCTGCAAAACATATAATCTTTCCAGAACTGTTAATTTTGAATAAGTTATTTAAGTAGAGACTAAATAATAGTGGGCCTAGTACTGTTCCTTGAGGCACACCACACTTGATGTACATTCTTTTACTGTAAGTGTTAGTGATTTTGACAGTCTGTGCCCGACTTGAAAGGTAATTTTTTAAAAGTATTTGTGACGCTCCAATAAATCCCAATCTTTCCATAACTTTCAGAAGCTCGACATGGTTAACCGTATCAAAGGCATTTTTTAGATCAACAAAGATACCAATAGTAGGTATCTTTTTGTTGACATTAGAGTTAATTTCATCCATTGCAGCCAAAATTGCATCTGTAGTAGATTTTCCTTTTCTAAATCCATATTGGTCAGAACATATAATTTTGTTTTTGTCCAAAAATTGCAATATCCTTTTTTGTAGTAATTTTTCGAAAATTTTGGCTATATTCGATAGTACTGATATGGGTCTATAATTTGATGTTTCCATTCTGTCACCGCTTTTATAAACAGGAGTAATAACAGTTGTTTTAAATGCATCAGGACAAATTCCAGATTGGAAACACCAATTAATGACGTAAGAAAGTGGTTCGGCTAAGTCGTAGGCTATTATTTTTAAATGCTCAGCTTTGATACCATCCACACCAGGACTTTTTTTGGTTTTAAGTGATAGGACAGCTTCTAAAAAGAATGAATTGGGAAGTTGGGTTTTTGTGAACTTTTCGTTCGAAACCATTTTTTTAATACTGGATGCTAAATTTTCTCCAACATTAGTGAAAAAATTTAAGAATGCATCGGATATTTGTCGTTTATCTGTTAATATTGTTCCATCACGATTCTTAATTTCATCAATATTTGGCTTTTCTTGAACGTCTTTGTTAGTTAAGTGATCGACAACTGACCACAGTTTTCTTGGATCAGATTTGGCATCTTGTAATTTTTTTAGATAGAATTGGCGTTTTGCTTCTATAACTAGATTGATAAAAATATTTTTATATTCTTTATATTTATGGGAGGTATCTGCACATGGCGATGCTTTCATTATTTTGTATAGTTCCTCTTTTTTGTTGGCAGTCTTTATCAAACCTTTAGTTATCCAGGGATTCCTGCTTCTGTCAAAATGTTTAATTTTAACTCTGTTTGTACTACATTCAATTAAATATTTTATGCGTTCAATGAGTGTGTTTGCAGCATCATTAACATTCGTTGCACAGTACACTGCTGTCCACGATTCTAATTTGATATTTGCAAGTAATTTTTTATTATCGACAAAACACCTAAACCCTGGGCGCTGAAGAAAGACATTAAACGTAAACAGTGATCAGCACGTAAACAGATCCCTCGAAAGCATCCACGGATATACTCCAGTCACTTTAGGTCTAAACATCCTCGGCAGTGTATTTCTAGTGAATCCACAGACCCTTTTTCGTGTCATCTTGAGACTAGAAAAAGGATGACTGTTAAAATAAGTTACCTTGATCTTTCGTGAGCTCCCAGTACAAAACATCATCGATATATTTTTGATGTAGGAACAACAAATTGGTTTAGAAAACATCCACTTTGAACCTAAATTGACTGGAGTAACATCGATCTACAGACAAATTCAAGGTCACTAGCAGTCGTCGGCGCTCTACGAATCTGCACAGGTTTGGACTTGTAAACGTGATTGTAGATGACACGACAGGCATCTAACAGTTAATTCACGCACAGGATTGCATTGCATACGCATTACGCATTCAGTAGCGTATACTCGTTTTTCGCGAGTGGAACGTTTTGTTTATAAATATATTGCCTAAGATACGATGTCTGACACAGATACAGCCGACGAAGTGGTTGACATCAGCGCAACCCCACCCAAAAAAAGGGCTAAGAAGCTACATTTAAGTGCAAATGAAAAACAAATAATATTAAATATATACAAAAACCAAATTCAAGAAAAACCCGATTTGGTCGTGGACGAAGTTACATGTAAGGTAGCACATATTTCTGGAGTATGTCGGTCCAGTGTTTATAGGATCATTAAGGAATATAGGAGCACTCACTCACTTTCTGAGCCAAAACCGTATCCTGCAAGAAAAAGGATAACGGACGGAGTAGATGACTTTGACAGAACTGCCATCAGGAGGAAAGTGCATAATTTTTTCTTCCGAAATGAGATACCTACAGTAGATAAGATATTAAGATTAGTTAATGCTGATGAGGATCTTCCATCATTTAAAAGAACCACATTCCGAAAACTTTTGAAGGAACTTAATTTTCGATAAATGGGGAAGAAACAGTATGTTAATAGAGAAAGAAGAAATTGTTGTGTGGAGAAGGGAATACCTTAGGAAGATTCGGAAGTTTCGCGATGAAAAAAGAAAAATTTACTATTTGGACGAAACGTGGGTGAATGCTGGACATACTCAAGCGAAAGTTTGGGTCGACAAATCAGTAACATCATCAAGGCAGGCTTTTCTAGACGGCTGGATTGAAAAATCCTGCAGGTAAGCTCCTTCATCTATCCGGCAATTTAATTTTGATAAATTCGGGCAAATAATATGCTGTGATAGCAGTTAATGTGTGATATTCTCCAAAAATGGTGCATTCGCAGTGTAGTCATTAGGAAAAAAACTTCGACCCTCTTTTAAGCGTTATTTTGAAATTTATTATCATTTTTGGGTGCAGTCAATTTGCTTTGAATGGGTTTTGAGAAGTTGCAAACTTCAATTTTCTACGTTTTTTAGTTTTTGATCAGCATTCCGTGACTCTTAAATTCAGCTAAATGAACTCAATTGCCTCATTCCTTCAAATTTAATCAATCCATAGTGTAAGGAATAATTTATTTCCAGGAAAAGGCAAACGGCTGATCATTTGTCACGTAGGACGTGAAGACGGCTTTGTTCCCGAAGAACTGTGGGCCTTTGAATCAAAAAAGACAGGGGACTATCATGAGGAGATGGACGGCAATTCCTTTGAAAATTGGTTCTCCAAAATGTTACTAAATCTGGAGAATAACGCTGTTATTGTACTGGATAATGCCCCGTACCATTCTAGAAAAATAGAAAAAATTCCCACAATGGCAACTAAAAAAGCAAACATACAACAATGGCTGGCCTCAAAACAGATCGATTTTGATGAAACAATGGTCAAGGGTGAATTGATAAGTATAGTCAATAGACATAAATACAAATACGATTTTAAAATGATCGACGAAATGGCCAAAAAACAAAATAAAACTGTCTTGAGACTGCCACCCTACCATTGTGAGCTGAACCCTATTGAGCTGATTTGGGCCAACATAAAGCAATACGTGGCGTCGAATAATAATACTTATAAATTTTCTGATGTTAAAAATCTCTTTCACATCGCAGTCAATAGAGTTACGGCAGAGGAATGGAAAAACTGTATCCGCCACGTTCGGGAGAAGGTTGAGGTCAAAATGTGGGATTTGGACAATGTCATCGATACCCAAATTGAACCTCTAATAATTCATTTAAACGATTCAGAAGATTCAAGTTCCTCTTCTGAATGAGTGCGCGCAGCTTACTTACTAATAACTAAAAAGTGTAGTTAACTCATTTGTGAATCTCTAACTGAAATTTACTGTAAAAGATAATAATTATCTTGTATGAAATTTTTGATGACTACCCATAATATCTTGATGCGGTCCTGTAATGTCTCCTGCGCCTAAACACTCACTCACGAGCAATATGCCTGTATTTGTTTGGGTTTAGTTTCTTTCTTCAGCGCCTAGAGTATAAATTTCACTGTTTCATTACTGGAGATGGATCTACTTTTATTTTTTTCTGGTGATGATATAAGTATTACAGTGGGTAAATGATCGGTAATATGGTTTTCAACAATTAACGGTATGTACCGAAAGAAATTTGAAAAATTTTTGATGAAACAATGATCAATGCAAGAACTGGAACTATTATTGACTACTCTTGTTGGTAAATTTATATTTGATATGAATCCATTGCTCTGCATTACAGTGAGGTATTTGTTTACTAATTTGGTATGTTGGAGTATATTAATATTCATATCTCCTATTATGATGTGGTGTGACTGTATGGTATTTTTGTTATCTAACAAAAATTTTCTACAAATGTATAAGGGTTTGATGATGGTGGTCGATAGACAGATGTGACTTTTACACTTTTGTTATTAATTCCTAATATCAAATCCAACACTGTGATACCGTCATCAAATTTAACAAAAGCACACACTCACTACCGTGTTATTACTAACACTGAAACAAGCAAACTCCACTTGAAAATTCCATATGTAAAAAAGTGGAGACATTACTTTCAAAACTTGATAAACGTAGAATGCTTTTTTATAACCATTTAGGACTGCTCAGTTGGGCTTGCCCATCAACGATAAATAGATATACCTGTATGTGTATTTGTTCACAATGCCGGGTTCGTTACTTATCCAGCTTGACCTTCTACCGATTTTGTGTGTGTGCGAATCGTCGCGCAAATTACGTTCTTGTGCTTTTGAATAATATTTTTGTAGACCATGGTGCCAGTGGCGTAGCGTGCATTGGCGGGGCCCCGTATAAAAAATTGTTTGGGGGCCCTTATATTCTTTGGGGGTAAAGATTTTTCACAAAAGAAAAAAATATTGTGAAAAGAAATATTTATTTATCATAACATAATTTAACCATTTTACAAATAAAAATCAAATTTTAAACATTCATTCTCCTTGCTTTTTTTTCGGCAAACTGATTTATTAAATCATTTATGGCTGATGATGATTTTAGTTTTTCTAAAGTTTCTACCTCTATGGACAATAGTGAGAGGTCTGACAGCCGTTCTTGTCCCATCGAAGTTCTTAAGTAATTTTTTATCAGTTTTAATTTTGAAAAACTTCTTTCAGCAGTTGCGGTTGTAACTGGAAGGGTCAAGAATAAAAAGCATGCTGTGATTACCTCGGGAAAACTAGAAGACTATTGAATTTTACTAGCAATAATTCAATGAGTTCTTTAATGGAATAAATTTTTTGAATTTCAGATTTTAAACATGTTTTTAGAGCCTTTAATTGGTCACAAAGATTAACTGAGATGTCTTTACTGTATTTAACGGACAGTTTTCCGGAAGCGATTAATATCTCTTCGTTTGAAGAAGATAGGAGTTTCTCCGGTTGTAATATTTCGAACATACTACTCAGATCGCAAAGGCTCTGAAATCTTTCTTTAGTTTGAGAAATTAATATATCTAAACAGCAATAGTATACATTGACTTTGAAATAGGATTCCGGGTCGGAAATTCTCTCATCTTGTGATAACTCATCAAAAAAACGCTTCGTTATCTTTCGCCTACTGTTTTTAAA